CTGTGACTGTGGTTGCTGTTTTATTTGCCTCTATTGCTTTTCTGGCTATATTCAGCTTGCCAGGCCAATATCTGGAAACTGGACCTGAAGCAGGAAAGGCCAGAATTGCCAACACTGTTGCGTTTCGTGTGTTCTGCCTTNGCCTCCTGAATGCTACCTCTCTCTTTATATCTCTCGCTGTTGTCGTCGTTCAGATTACTCTGGTTGCCTGGGATACTAGAGCTCAAAAACAAATTGTCTCAGTCGTGAACAAGTTGATGTGGGCAGCCTGCGTTAGTACTTGCGGAGCATTCCTAGCTGTTGGTTTCGTTGTTGTAGGGAAGAAAAGTTCATGGATGGCAATCACTATTACTGTGCTTGGTGCACCAATTCTTATTGGAACACTGGTTAGCTTGTGCTACTTCGTTTTCCGACAGCATTTTGGAATATGTGGTAGTGATTCTCAAAGGCGTATCAAAAGAGCAAGTGGGAGCAAATCTTTCTCGTGGTCATACTCTGCAAATATTTCTGATCTGGATGACTACAACTCTGATGAGAAAATTTATGCTCTGTGACATTGTGTCATGTTCTATCTGAAGGAGGTTTACTACATAATCTTGGTTTTCCACATATCATAAAAACCTATTCCTAACAAGTTGCTGGATCAAAATGGCTTTCCACGTATCACGGGGACGAGATATATTGGAAGTGTATTCATGCTCTGTTGACCCCCGTGTCCCTTTTGTATTAAGATCCCATGTCATTGAAAAGGTGAACATGATGTTTGGTCGAGATACACAGGCATCAGGTATTCATTTTCAACACCATGCAAGAAAATCCCTCTTTTTGTTTTGCTCATAGCACATGGTATGATGAATTGGAAAAGTAAAATCTGGAGCCGGTAGTTAGTTGTATAGGTTTAGCTTTGCTTCAGTCATTCAGGATGTCCATTTATATAAGGTCATCTGTTTCTAATAAATATATACTTTTGTGGCTTTGATGTAGAATTAAGAGTATGAGTTGAGGTTTGTACATACTAGTGCAGGACTCTTTAAAATCCAATAAAAAGCTTGTAAGTTTGTTGGAAGGAACTATAGCATAACAAGTTTGTTTTCCAGTAGCACTGTTACTGTTGTTTTACTGAGGCTGTATTTAAGGTATGAAAAGAAGGAAAGCTGAACAGCTGTGTCTTTTTCAAGCCCCAAATATGTTTCTTCTTGATTCTGTTTATTATTTAATTATAGGCACCTTAACAGCTCAGAAAAGCAAAATTTGAAAAATACTTATGCAACTTGAATAAGATTGCTCTGGGAGTAACATGAGGAACATTACAAAAGAAATCTTAGGAGGGGAGAAAGCTCTTTAAATTCCAGCCAGAAAGACCTGGCAAAGGTCAATTGTTGAATTACAAAGCAAGATTTGTCTTTTCCCATCCTTGGTTCAGATAAAAACATTTTTAGGAGATTGCATATGTCCCCAGTTTGTTTATTGTACTGGACCTCCATATCACATCACATATATTTAATAAATACTAAAAAGGAGCATGTGTGATTTCTTCTTATTTGTCTATGCTTTAACCACAAAATTACAGGGTACTTGTGCTAGTAGAAAATAGCAAGTCTTTGATAAAATAGTTGAGATGCGCTCAAGTTGCCCCAACTACCCTCGTTCTCCAAAAAAAAGTTAACAAACAAATAAATAAAAATAAAATACAAAAGGAAAATAGGAACTGTTTCGCCAAAAGCTTAAGTGTCAGACCTTGGCATTTCCAGCACATGAAGAAGAGTAACAGAAAGTCCACGGTAAAAACATACTCATATACAGTGTTTACAGCAAAATTAATGAAGCAAGACGTGTATTTTCACATATTTATCACTTAATTATGGTTAAATAATAGTATATATTCTCACTTTAATTTTTAATTGTTTAAATTTAAATCTTTTGGGGCATAAACAAAAGAATGCGGATAAATATTTAAAGTCCATTCATGCACCAAGATTGATCACACAACTAATTGAGATTTGCGTAAAATAAAATGATAATGGTTGATTAGTGGGATCTTAAAAACATTATATTATTCATAACCTGCCAGTTTTTACTTTCAAACAAGTAGGCACATGAATCCTCTATTACATATAATTTTTAATATCTAATATCAAAAGAGTTGAGATCTACTATTTTAAATATAATGCTTTATGCAGTTCGTAATTACTTACAAAGTCAAATTAGTTGTCAAGGTTTAAAGTTTAAATATCAATAATATTGATATCGACAAAGTCGAGTGATAAGTAAAATATGAGTATTAGAAACACAACAACTCGACGGAAACAACTGCAGTTAATATTATTACAATCAAAGGACCATTTCGAAATGTACAAAAGATAAAGCACCATGAATTTGTAGCACAAGAATTTTCAGGTCCAATTAATAAGCAAATCCCAGAAAAAGATGAGGCATAAATCATTCATATGATGAACTTGTCATATCCTACATATGTACTTGTTTGCCCATCTGGTATCCAACAAAAATAATAGAACCACATGGGAAAAGGACCTTAGATTAATATTCATTCCCCTCCTCCAGCCCAAAACACACTACTAGGATATACACTACAATTTACAACTGATGGCGGAGCTTAACCAGGATTTCATTGAAAATAAATGAAGTCGCTGCATGATTTAAAGGAGCAGAAGAAACACTCAAAGCTGCAACTATACCGGGCCTCTATATGATGATCTTGAAGGAGGTCTATTCAAGTCTGATGCTGGAGCTGGTTTCTCAGATTCTTCCGGAATTTGTACCTCCTGGACAGAGAGATAGGTAAAAACTGAGATTTCACACCCCAAGAGAAAGTTTGGAAAAGATTCAAAAAAAAGTTCAGAAAGGGAGAAAGAAAAGGTTAAAATATCAAAAACAGTTAGCGCTTCGCCCATACTGTTATACATAACCACAATGGACTTCATCATTTCGAGGCCTACAAAATTCCTAGTGATATCAACGACATCTCAACAGAGATACTTAAGTATTGAAGTCAAAATTGGCATCCGACTGAAAATATGGAAATACCAGCCAATATGCTTCATTGGCTTGTTGTTCTCTCCCATCCTGAACTATTCCCACCCTCATCATTTTCTCATTCATGAACTAGATACTTTCTTGATTAAAAATGAACAGAATAGCAGAACAAACTCATGTATCCCAAGTTTGTGTTTGAAGACTATATGAAACTGCGTGAAGACCTTGTATTCCAGGCTAACAAGTCCAGGTCAGAACCAATGAAGGCAACAGAAACCAGTGTCATGTGTTTCAAATGGTACCAGACATTTTTAGTGGAGTTTAACAATTGCAAGTAAAATATTTGTGTTGTCTTAATGTCAATGAGTAATTCCAAAGATACTACTTGTATTGTGGGATTGGTTTTGTAATTTATTACAATTTGATGTCGCCATGTCTGATACTGCTATTCTACTTGATATATCAAGCACTTATGGGTCGTTTGGTAGGATGCATGCATTAGCTTTTGGTATTACAAATCCCTTGTTTGGTACACTTTTTCAACCTATGTATTACTAATGCAAGTATTAATTATACAACCTATTTGGTATTATCCTATGTATAACTAATACATAGCAAATTATGGTATTAGCAATACCAAAGCTATTAATGCATGCATTAGCATGATTAAAGACAAAATTGTCCTTAAATTCCCTTAAAGCTAAATAATATGGAGGACATTTTTGTAAACAATTAATTTTCTTAAAAATTATGCAATGCATTTTAATGTAATACACCACACCAAACTGTGGATAAGAAATAATCTTTGTATAACTAACCCATGCATTACTAGCCCCTCAATTACTAATAGTGTTGTACTAACTGTGGTATGCTTGAATTAGTTTTAAGAATTTTTAATATTTCAAATAATTTTCAGAATTTTGTGCAACAAAAACCAATATGAAACAACACCCTCTGAAACCATGCCAGGTACTGCAACTTTGAACCAAGGGAAATGGTTCAGTCCAGAGTATGTTTTATGATGACCACTTACCCACCCTATGCACCCACCCTATGCACTAACCTAGAGTCCTCATGGTAAATATTAGCAGCTGAATACTTTAGTGTCAATTTTACTTGTTCCTACTCTCAGAAAATTTAGTCTGCACTTGGTATAAGTATCTTAATGCAGGACTCAAATTGTATAAGCAAATCAAGAAGATGGTATTTCTCTACTCCATCGGGTTAGAGGTAAGGTCTGCGTACATACTACCCTCCCCAGACCCCACTTGTGGGACTATACTGGGTCGTTGTTGTTGTTATAAATCAAGAAGATGGTATGAAGCACAGCAAACCTTCGTTGATGAAGTAGAACTAAAATATGGAAGTGTCTGTGACTTTAAATGCAAGCGATGTTGATGCTGAATCTCCATAAAGTGCTGCAGTCTCGAAGCAAAATTTATTCCATTATGCATATCATAAGAATTTTCATTCAGGTTGCCATCCTCGGGAAAATTTGATCCACCTTCCCCATGATTATTTTGAGAATAAGGACTCCCAGATGAAGTTCGTCTTAATTGTTCTTCCTTAAAGGAGTATGAAGGCACAGTTTTCAACCTAGTACGAAGAATCTTAAATGCTGCACTTTGCTGCACAAAATTGACAAAAAATGTTTTAGATTAGCAAACAAAATGGCATATAAACCATGGGATGTTTAAGAGTAGTTTTGGATATTTAGCATGCAACAGTAATCAACATGCTCTCACAGCACACACCATGTCAGATAGTTAAGTAGGAATGACAAAGACAAGCAAAAAAAAAAGGACATGTCTGCTATACATCTACAAGTGACTTTCTTTAGCACTTCTCAAATTTAGATTATATATTAAAGTGATCAGGTGCAATGACCACCAACTCGTGCTCACATAGGAGAAATTAATCGGCATTATTACCTGGGGTAGCAGCATCAGTAGACCGTACAAGGCTTTTAACAACCATATGTATCTTCCAGGTTCAAGAAGCTGCAAAGAAATAACTATTAAGATGCTCCAAAAAAGGCTTTTAAGAAAAAAGACAATTAACTTGTACCTGACCTCACGAACAAGAACATGAGTTTATCCAATTAACTCTAGTTTCTATATAACCAAAGACAACTAAAAAAAGAGTTCCACTCGTTACAACATGAGTTTTCAACTCCAATTTGTTCTTTCTTTGTCTTGTTCATTTGCCAGGCAGGTAAATGTTTGCAAGTCTTTTGAACACTTTAAAAAGTACTTCTCAGAACCAAAAACGAATGAAATGCACTTAATCCTGAAGGATAACAGAAAAAAAGTGTATTTTCTTTTTTCCTCAATTTGCATTGCTCATCATCTATCACAAAATAATTTGCCAGAGCACCACTACTATAAAAGGGCAGCCCGGTGCACTAAGCTCTCGCTATGCGCAGGGTCCGGGGAAGGGTTGGACCACAAGGCTCTATAGTACGCAGCCTTACCCTACATTTTTGCAAGAGGCTGTTTCCAAGACTTGAACCCGTGACCTCCTGGTCACATGATAACAACTTTACCAGTTATGCCAGAGCACCACTACTATGATTGTACCAAATAAAGGGAACAACTCATGCATCTTGAAATGGGTAAAAGAGAAATATGTTGACAAGAAATGGACATTGGGTCTAACTCAACTCGTAAAGCTAGCTCATGAAGCGAGGAGTTTCCAAGACCATATAAGGAGACAACAACCCATTTCCTCAACCTATTTGGGACAATATAACAACCCCACTTCCTCCTCCCTGGCACGCCCAGGCTTGGTTAACTTGAGCGTGATAAAATGACATAGGGACCCAACATTGGTACCAAGAACAAGAATGGATCTAGTCAGAAAAGTAACTTGAAGTACTAACTACTTCTGGTAATCGGAGACAACAGAAAATGGGATGGGTTGCCTCGGAATGAGTAGGCAACCCTTAAGGAGAAGAGATCAGCCTTTGAAGATGCGCGGAAAAGCCTTCACGCGCCTGCGCGTTAACCTGACGCGCTCGCCGGAGCAAGACCTTATGGTGGATCCGTGAGCGATGGAGTCTGATGGAGCAGTTCACTAGGGTTTGCTCATCAGAGGGTGATGAAACATGTGGTGGTTTTAAATAGTGCGACCATTTCATCTAAAAGCTTAACCTGATAGAGAGAGCACATTTTATTTACTTATGCCTTCAACACGCCCTCTTACGTCTGAACTTGATTCTTTTTCACGAGCCAAGCACGTGAGAATTCTTTTACTTGACTAGGTGGGGGTGAGACTCAAACCCAAGATCTCTGCTTGTTACCTTGCTTAATCCTGAAATGATGTACCTTTACAGAACCGAAAAATTGCGCGATGACGATTTCTTCCTTCCCTATGCCAATGGTATGTTGCACAGCCAAAGCTCTGATACCATAATACGAAATGGACCTAGGGCCTAAGACAACCCCAAGAGCTAGCTCATGAAGTGAGAATCGCCAATGACCATACAAGGAGACAACTCATTTCCTCGACCAATTAGAAATGCTGGAAAAAATCGGATGTTTTTTGGTTTTAGGTTACCTCTTCCACGAAAATCTCCCCACAGTAATAGGAAAATCAAACTACTGAAAGGATGACTATTACTTTCCTGTGGAACGCAAAGAACCAACATCGTGATAAATGAATCCAATGTTCTACGTTTAGAACTCAATAAAAGGAGAAATTACTTCAAAATACCTGCAGTCTGAGGTAAGCAAAGATCGGGGTCTCCAGAAGGTGGATCAATTTATCTAGTTGGACAAAGAACTTGGCATTGATGTCTTCCTCGACCAAGGATTGGATAACAGAACTTGCATGCTGATATGCCTGTCATGCAATCCAAAAAAAGACATGGACTCACATTGATACAGTGCAAGATAAAAGGAGCAACGGCTTGATAGAGCCATGAGAGAAAATCCAGTCTTACCTGAACTAATAGGCAAAGGCTTATTATTGCCATCGGCGAATGGCACCATGATGCATACAAAGAAAGAAATAAGTCTTTCCCAGCAGAATTGATTAATGATTGTTTAAGAAGATCTCGGAGGTGGGACAACTCGGATGAAGCAAGTAAAACCAAATTTAAGGCCTGAAACAAAAAAGAAGCACACACAGGTTATGGAAATTTACAACGTTAAAACATATATCAATTCCGAGACACACTGTCAAGCAGAGTCAAAAGACTGAGTTGGACAGTTCTTTGATACCAATACTTATTACTCCCTCTGTTCTATTTTATTTGACAATCTTTTCTTTTTAGTTTGTTCCAAAAAGAATGACATCTTTCTATATTTAGGAACACTTTAATTTCAAAATTTTATTTTACCCATGATTTTATAGCCACATAAATGTCATAGCTTGTTTAAGACCACAAGTTCCAAAAGTCTTTGAACAGGTTCACATAAAATGAAACGGAGGGAGTAATAGTTAACTCAAACGAAACCTAATATCTCTCTGTCATTGCATTATTTCAAAAGATTTAAAGGGCATAGTCAGTTTCATGCGAAGTGATTAGAATAAAACCTGAACCATGATAGATGCAAACTCCAAATCTGATTCCCCTTCAAGTAATGTGGACAGTTCAAGATAAACTCTTTTAGCATCCAGAAGTACACATAGCCGACGAACTATTAAAGCTCCACGTCTGAAAGGAAATTAGAACACTAAGATAGGATAGAATACTGTGAACATAGACACATTAAAAGTTGAACAAACAATACTGACTTCTCCAGGAGAGAGTAATCAAGCTGAAAGTTGTGAACTAGGAAAACAACAAGCTGGCGGAAGTGTTGTGTATCTTGAGCTATACATGCATGCACCTCAAGCACCAAAAGCACTACCTGGCAGAAAATTACGAGAAAATTTTGATGGAATCAGTTTGAAGGATGTGCAAGTCCATACAAAGATGATATGGGTGGCAAACTCGGCGGAAAAACTCTTCAGAATTTTTTCCCATACACAAGAAAAAGACTCATTAGAATATAAACTTTACCAATACGAGAAAAGAGGGAAAAGAGAGTTTTAACCGCACCTACCAAAAAGGAGGAACAAAAGAAAAACTGAAACAGGATAGATGACAGTTTATCTCAATCTATAGCTTATTTGGTTCAGTAATATCAATCAGAAGTAACTAAAGTCAATTGCAAACATAACCATTTAAACACCCATGAACAAGCGGAAGATGAACATTCATCAAAATCTTTCTTTTTCTCTGAGAATAAAAGTTGAGTTAGGTAAGGAAAAAGGTCCAAAGAGAATCTTCTATCCAAATAAGTAGCCTACTATGCTTGATCATTCTCATTTATTTCTGAGTCCATATTAGAGTCATAATGATTATACTTGCATTCATTCCCCAAACAGAGGATATTCAAGGAAAGGAACTCAGAAACAACATCCAAATTTTACATAGTTCAAAAAGTCATAGTCCAGTTAGACCATCAGCAGATGGTCCAGTTATCATGCAAAGAAGCAAACAGTTACGAATCCAGAATGTTCTAAAATTCCATCAAACACGGGTTTGAGGAAATCAAGAAACTAGGATAACTACAATGGTAATAATCTCAAGGATCAAAAAAATGAGAAAAGAAAAATTAGTTGGTGCTACATGGTAGGGAAAGGAAGTTGTACAGCTAAACTTTGCAGGGGAACTACGCCAGAGGAACCAAACCAGTGCCATAGCCCATATACACAAGTCAAAATCAAGACTCAAAAGCTAATAAATGGCTCATAGAATCCCTAAAGAAACACAGTCTGCTGCCACATAGAGCTGAAAGACATGGATATATCCGTTGGTCCAATCAACAAAAGTGCAGCTATAAATAATTGTTTCAAGCAATGACATTTGGACAATTAGGGTTAAATGAGTGAGACATCAAATTTAAATATAGTAGCAGAAAATACCTCGTCGGAGGGATCTGAGAGTGCCTTCAGAAGAGTGTCGAGAACATCATTCAGAAAAACTAAGACCTGTTCCCCCAAAAATAAATAGAAAAAATGAAAAAGATTAGATGGTCAGCCATCCTTCCAAAGTTACGAAACCAAATAAATGTAAATCACGGCAGCAAATATTGATTGACTGATTATACGTGTTCTTCTCCAAATCTGAGTAATGAACTTAACCCATATTGGACATAATATATTACTTCTAAAAGCAGAACTAAACTTGAAAATGATATTTCGAATTTGTAATATTTACTCCAAATCCATGAGGCAACAACTTTATGTGATAATAATATTCTAAACAATGAGCACACTGGTATACCTCAAAATGTACACGTATACAAAATATTATCAGCTACTGATGACAAGCTTTTACTTGAACAGAATAAGACATTAACAGATGAAACTATGATGCAAACCAACCATATAGAGAATGTTGATCTGTGCACAAGAAACCTAGTACAGGAGATACTGTGGCTCTGGAACAACCTCCACACCTACGTAGTTGTGTTAGATATAATAGATACATATCATATTTGTCTAATGCTGAATAATATCCAACTTAAAGACTTCCAATCTTCTTACACTATAACTCTGACAATCCAACATAAAAGAACCTGATATCCCAAGTTCAAATCCCAGCTATAAGTTTCAAAGTAAGTACAATATGCTCCAAACTTGGTGAGTAGGTCTATTTAGAACCTATGTTTGAGGGTTGTAGTAGCAAGTAGACCCCCTATGGATTAGTCGAAGTGCACAAATTAATCTGAACCATTGTCATCTAGAAAAATTCTAACAAGAACTATAAAAAGCAAGGAACATTTTCTCCTCCTAAGCCATAGCACGACCACTCCAACGTTACAAAGGCAGATCCAGGATTTGAAGTTTATGGGTTTGGTACTGAACTCACAGATCATGTGAGTTACTAGGTTCGGAATTTAATATTTGTACATATTTAGTAGATTTCTTAACACATACACTGAACCCGCAGATTGTGCACTTGCCCCTACCAATTGATTCAATTTGCCTAAATAAACATGTTGTTAAAGAAAAGAATTGTAGGTTCAATGATGATGAGCGTTCTCTTGTAGAAATCTCATGATATTATTCATTAAACAAGCATCTACCAAAACACGAACTAGCAGGGCTCCTAATAATCCTTTACCTTTAGGGACCATTTGGTTCAAGGGATTAGGTGGGTTATCCCATTATAAACTTTGGGATTAAATTTATCCCGTGTTTGGTTGGACGCATTAGCTAAAACCAATATTATGTTTGTACCAAAATCTTGGTATAACTTATTGCATATAGAAGGCGGGATTGGTTATCCAGGTTATAATCCTAAAATTATAATCCTGGAATATCCTGAATTTGAACCAAACAACCCCTTAGTATGTAGTTCAGTATGCTCTTAGTACCTCTTCATCACACAACATAAACAAACTTCACTGCCTATACATAGGTAAAATAGCCTAAGTAGTACACACTCAAACAAGTTTCAAATTACATAACCTTCAAGATGGTGAGAGAACATGGTCATCAAGCAAAACAATAAAGGAGACCATGATCCAAGTGCTTGTCTTTACCTCTGACCGATGTCTATTTAGCAGGGTTGACATCCAGTGTAATGCTTCAATACGTGTTGCCTCCCATTCACTTGACAACTGCCTGATAAACAGAAAGCATAAAGGTAACAATAAATTTTGAATTTCATGCATTATGCAAACCATTTTAGTCAACAACAGTGAATATCAACATCTGAAAACTTCTGTCAACTCATTAAATACCAGATTTCCCTATATAAGTAACTTCATACCTCCTAGCAATGGAGAGAATTGCTCCTACATCAAATCCCTCAGCTGGGTCGGCCTTGATTCCTCGAAGTTCTTCATTCGTTTCACGTGCAACCTAAAGGCCAGAACAACAGAAGATAAAAGTGAAAAACAAAGAAAAAAAAGGAACACAAAGAAGCAAGAACAATGAAGAGAAGGCGGGGCTAGAAAAAGGGCAGCCTGGTGCACTAAGCTCCCGCTATACGCGGGGTCCGGGGAAGGGCCGGACCACAAGGGTCTGTTTTTACCCTGCATTTCTGCAAGAGGCTGTTTCCATGGCTTAAACCCGTGACCTCCTGGTCACATGGCAACAACTTTACCAGTTACGCCAAGGGACTAGAAGGCGATAAACTCAAATACCAAAATAAAAGAGGCTATTTCCACTTACGACTCTTATTTTCTCTTCTTTATCAGATATACAGGGCAAAATTGCACCCAGAATGTCAGCATAATAAGGGACAAGTTGGTCTCCACCCAGTTTCACAAACTCATTTATCTGCAGAGCAAATAATCTAGTTAAATTGATTGACCAAATAAACCAATTAGAAATTAGTTAACACCAATGAAACCCAAGCCAGGGCAGATAGAATTCCCGTCAATGGAAGGTGAAGCATTCAATTACATCATGCACAAGCAATTACAGATGCCAGTGTCCTTACCCAAGTGACAGCGGTCAGCCGCGTAAATTCATCCTGTGAACCTGATCTTTGAACCAGTATCTCAGCCATGCGACCATAATCTACAGACTTCAAGATCAGAATTGTTCAAGTTAGAAGAGTTACAAAAAAAAATTCCTTTCAACAAATTATATATGTTTAATTTCTGATTTTTCTAGGGGAAAAAAATATAATCTTATTTGGAAAAGATTAACAAAAATAAACCGGAGGAAAAGATACCTATATTGCATACAGATAGAGATCCATTACACAAGTACTCAAAAAAAACAAACTGATAACAGCAAGCCATATCTGAAACTAGACATACCGATACCCACATATCTCTCACTTAACACCTCAACAATGCTGTTAGGAGAAAGAAAATCACAAGGTATGATTTTCTTTTCTTTTTTTTAGGAATCTCACCACTCCGTCATTAGAAAGCTTAACATACCATGCATGGAAGAAATCTTACTGGAGAGTTCTTAATCTCTTGTAGAAACTCTGAAAGTGCAGAATCAGCTTGTTGCCGTATTTCGTGGCTGGAATCACTCAACATATTAAACAATCCTGCAGTTCATCATGTCAAATAAGATAACATGCGGAAACAGAACATTCAACAGCACATTTTAGAACTTTTGAGCTCAAAACACAAGCACTTACCATCAAGAAAATCAGGAAGAAAACCGAGCATATCAATATCTGGAACACTGTCTAGAACCGTGATCCAACCAACGAGAAACTGGCGGACATAAGGGTTGAGGACATTCATTCTCTCTCTCAATAATGGAATAAATTCTTCAATGCTGAGTAAGAAGTGTTATGTACAATTAAATCTATTAAATAATACTTCATCAAACTGACAACTAAAATTGACCCCAAGTATGAAGATATCGCTAGTAGAAAACACACCTAAATTGATCGCTCTCCGTGACAATGTCCTGCATCCCAAAAAAAGTGCAAAATAATGTTAGCATTCAAGATTAATCAGTCAAAATATCACACTTGCTAAAAAGCTTTTATCAAAATAACTATTTGCCAAAAAGGAGAGGGGTACTCCCATATCACCAACATCCTCCACCAAAATGTACTGTCGATAACAAGAACATAAAAAAGAAGGAAAAAAGAGAGAAAGAGAAATCTTCTAACTGCAACAGAATACCAGCAACAACC